AAGGGCTGTTGGTGTTGAGGAGGGAATAGCGGTGTTCATTTCCCAAAATGCCAGGCCTACACTGCACTCAGTCAGGGTAGCTGGAGTGGCCAGAGGAAAAGACAGGCAAAGAAGTGCAGGCACTGACAAGTGCAAGTCAGGTTGACATGTGCTGGAGTCATGACGATGGGCCCATACGGACAGAGCACCAACAGCCTCTGCAATGAAAATAACCTCTGAGGTGTTTTCCTGCAGAGACCAGTCTGTTGTTTTTATAACACCACTAAGCCTTTTATAGCCTGAGCTAAACATCTCCATATGAATGTCCGCCTCTGTGAATTTTCTGTAAGCACACCTTATATCTCTCAGCTGCATACAGGCTGCTTCTTAAAAGTCATCTTTCTCTTCTGACCAAGTCCTGTCTGTCCTTCAAGAGCCAGTTCAAATGATGCTTCCTCTCTGAAGCCCTCCCTCCTTTCTCCAGGCAGAAGCGGTGCTTGGAATATCGTTAGAGCTCAGTCAGTGTGGGATGAACGGCTTCTAAGTGGACGAACCTCTGCTACTACTGTTGAACACGTTCGTTTGCAGTGACCTGTGTGCCTGTCTCCACCAGAGTATGAAATGTCAGAGGGCAAGAGCCATGTCCAATCTGTCTTATTCCCTTCTCCTAAAACAGTGGGCATCCAATAAATGTTTGTTGAAACATTGAAATATCTCCTTTAAGAAAATATTGAATATTTCAATGTGGACTGTTTTGAATATTTCAGTGTTGAAAACATTGAAAAAATATCCCTTAAAGAAAACTAGCAATAGCACAAGAGTCAGTACCTCTTAAGTGCTTTTCATGCTTCTATCCACACAATTTGGTCAGTAGTTCTGTTGTTTCCCTTTTCAGAAGTGGGGAGGGGATTCAAATGAACCTCAAATTCCCTTCGAATTCTAGAATACTACAAAATGTCACCTTTGTGGTCTCTGACATAGAGCATCGAGACTAGCAGAGCCAGTGCCTGTTATGTTTCAGTGATTGGTGGTAAAGCATTTTCTTGAGTTCTGACCTTTTAGGTTTGTTTGTTTTTTCCTTTGCAGCATCTACGAAAGACAAGGAGGCATTTTTACGTGCATATATGTAATTTATTAAACGGAGAAAATTATTTGCAAGTGCAGGATTATATATTTTTTTCTCAATTTTGCTTTTACATGCTTTTTTTCTCAGTGATTCCAAAGAGACTAAAAGAATTCACAAGCATCAGGCATTTTAGGGTAATTTTCATCTGGCTACACCACGGTAAAATTTTATCTTTAAAAAAGCCGCTCAGGAGAGCGTGCCAGGGGAGCCTAATGGAGTTGTATTTCCACTAGAGGGAAATTAAGTTATTAAATTATACCATGAGGGTCAAATAGTTGCTAAATAAAACATACTGAAATGAATATTAAAAGCAGTCCAGCTAAACACCTCACACCAGGGACTGGCTGATTCACCAAAGAAGCAGTATGATCCTTTTAGAATTTATTTCAGATGAGTTACTCTCTACTCAGAACTCCTCAGACCTCTGACCATGGTTCACAAGTCCATCCTGAAGGGACCCCTGGCTGTCCTTTCTGTCATCTCATTCTACTCCCTTCCTTCCTCTCGGCTCTGCAACCACAGCCTCCTTGCTGATGCTCCTGCGGCAGGAGTTTTGCTCGGCCTGTGCCCTCCCCCCAGGTCGCTCACTCCCCACGATACTGACCTGCACCCCACACTTCACTCGAGCCTGTGCTCTGTTGACTCCCCCCCGGAGAGGCCTTCTTCAGCTTGCTGTCTGAAAGAGTATAGCATCCTCTGTCCTGTTTACTTGCATTTTTATGTCCCTTAGCGATACCTGCTGTCTTCTGTATTTAATTACCCCTGAGGGTAGCACTTCTGTTCCCAGTGCCTTAAACTGTTATCACTTTAGAAACATTCAAATATTTATTGAATGAATGAACTTGTTGAAAGAGTAAATGGATTACTAGCCCTAGTCACATTCGTATGTCAGTCCCATCCTGCCAGGATCAGTCATGATTTGACTAGTGACCACAATACAGAAACCTTAAGGAGAAATGCCTTTTTTTTTTTTTAACAGACTTAGTAACTTTGGCATTTTCTTCCCCTCTAGCTCGTGATTGATAGTTAATTGACTGCCTGTTAATTTTAAGACGTTTAAGACATGAACACTTTCACAAAAGCACAGAGCCAGCTGAATATTTTTTTAATTGATATACATTTAGCACTTACCGGCTGGAAATAGTGTAGGTTATATAATATGCTGTCAGTTGTCCTAAAAACAACGTAAAATTTAGCAGTTGTTTGAACTACAAACAAGGTGCGATTTCTGTTTTGGACCCGAGAGATTCTCCTTTTTTATGGATCTACGCTATTTATCCATTCACTCTCAATAGTAAACGTGGACGTGCTGGCCTGTGCAGTGTTCAACTGCATGGCAAAAATGTTTAGAATTCTTATAGCAGGTTCCAGAAAGGTCACTTGACCCTTAGGTAGAGCTTCATTGAAAGTAATTACTTTGAGGAATCATGCCCTCGTGAATTTTCTGTACTTCATCAGTTTTATGCCTGAGAGAGATGATTGCTATACAGATTTTCTAGGGACATTAATCATATTGGTAATAATGATCTTTTACAGGCACTGAGAACAGACGAGAATAGATTTTAAAGCACAAAATTCTAGTTCAATTAAGCACACTATCCATCCTATGGCTCTTTTTAAAAATGTAATAAACTGTATCTTTTTTATTTTATCAAAGTTCATTTTTGTCTTCTACTCCTTAATTGTTCACATTTAGTTGGCGCACTTTTGAAATTTACAGTACTTTTAAGATGAGTTGAATAATAATCATCTTAACAAAAAATTTACTTTATATATCAGGGGGTGGCAAACTTTTTAAAAATATATATAAAGGGCCAGATAGTAAATATTTAAGGCTTTGCGGGTCACATGGTTTCGGTTACAGCCATTCAACTCTGCTATTGTAGAATGTACAGTCCATAAATGAATGAGCCTAGCTGTGTTCCAGTAAAATCTTTTTCAAAATCAGCAGACCAGCCCTGGCCTGTATGGCTCGGTTGCTGGTTCAATTCCCGGTCAGGGCACATGCCCTGGTTGTGGGTTTGATCCCCAGTTGGGGGCGTGCAGGAGGCAGCTGATCAGTGTTCTGCTCTCGCATTGATGTCTCTCTTCTCCCTTCCTCTCTCTCTAAAAAAATCAATCAACTATTCTTTTTAAAAAAAACATAAACAAAACCAGAAAACCCCAACAGGCCAAATTCAGTAGTTTGCCAGCCTCTGTCACATAGTACCGTACCCCAGATTTTTCAGGGAGACAATTGTTTCTTAGACTAGAGAATGAGGCCGATGCATCCCATAAATTCTAGCTAAATTGATTTATAAAATGGAAATGATATAATAGTTGATTCAATAGGCAGTTACGGTTTTGAATGGAAGAAATCCTCTCTTTCGTAATCCCATGTCTCATATAAACATATCCACCGAATAGCCCTGGCTGGTGTGGCCCAGTGGTTAGAGCATCGGCCCTCGCACCGAAGGGTCACAGGTTCGATTTTTGGTCAAGGGCACTTCCCTGGGTTGCAGGTTCGATCCCCGGCCCCATTCGGGGGGTGTTCAGGATGCAGCCAATCGATGTGTGTCTCTCACATGGGTGTTTCTCTCTCCCCACCTCCCTCCCTCCCCCTCTCTCTAAAAATCAATGGAAAGTGACTGGGGAGGGGGAAGGAATGGGGGGGAAAGGGTCATTGGGGAGAAAAAGGGACATCTGTAATACTTTAAACAAAAATAAAAATTATAAAAAAACAAAAACAAAAAAACAACAACATAATAACTTCTAGGTCCCTCCAAAAATATATATATATATCCTCCAGTGAGCATTAACAAAACAAAACAAAAAAATGAACGGAATAAGTACCACTTTATTTAGACATTTTTAAAAGCCCTCTTTCCTGATTAATTGGCTTGTTTTATTTTATTGTGCATGACCAGGAATAAAGATTTTACTAAGAACTAGGAGTTCAATGTTTTTGCTCTAATCTAGTAGTCATGATTCACTTAGGTTTTACAGTACCATCGGTTCCCCTGCCTTCACGAATTAATTCTTTTTGAAAGTAAGGATGAAATAGATAAATGTCATCTGTTACGGGTAATAGAAAGGATATAACTGGGTGTGGCTTCTTGACAGAGATGACTTTGGAGCCTTTTTAAAGATGAGAGGGGTATGGGCTATATGAGAAAGGAGTGGGGAAAAAAAAAATAGTTTTTGATACGGTAATAGGGCAAAGGCATCAAAATAGGACCTGGGATGCTGGGCTGAGGCAGATAATCCTGAGAAGCAACCACAAAAGCACATCTTGAATCACAGCTTGACTGGTTTCGTAAGTACAAAAGAATCGGACGTCCCCAGTTCCTCAAGAGCATAAATAAATAACAATTATAATGGCTCATGGGCAGGGTCGCTGTTCTTGGGTTGCTGTTTACAGGCTTTATACCGTGGAACAGGTCAGCTTAACTAGCGCCACTTCCCATAACACTGATCGTTATATAGAGGGGGCAAAAGGAGGTTTACAGCTGTAAAGACGTGAAATTTTATTTTTATATTATTTATTAATTATTATGTTATTTGTACAACTGGAAGCCTACTTTTGCCCACCCTTGCGCGTGTTTGTAAAGTGAGAATTACTTCTTTGTATGCCCATATGAGTTATTATATTGCACTAATTATTTCGCCAAAAACTATTCTAGTGATTTACTAATTATTAATAGAGTAATTATTGCTATATTGTGAAAAACAATGTTAAAGATAACTTGTTAATATTTTAAAGTATGTACCCTTTAGAATAAGCGATGCTTCGAATGTTTTGGCTTTTATGTATATTTGATCAAAAAGTAACTCTCATACCTACGTGTATTTATATGTTATATTATTTTATTTCCTGTAAATATATTTTTCTAATTTTGCTTTGCTTTTCTTTCAGTTGTTTTACAGGTTTGCAGCCTGGTCCTTTACCCAATCAAATTCATTGAAACTGTGAGCTTGAAAATTTACCATGAGTTCAATTGGGGTTATGGCCTGGCGTGGGGTGCAACTATATTCTCGTTTGGGGGTGCCATCCTTTACTGCCTGAACCCTAAGAACTACGAAGACTACTACTAGAACCAATAGTCTCAAATCGGGGGCGGGGCGGGGATGGAAACATCCAACAGGGATACGTCTGCATCTTTTCTAACTCACTGTTTTCTAAAAACACTTGTGGAGTGTCAAGCAGTTTGCTGAGTTGATTTAATATCTTTTGCCTTTTGGCTGTCAACATCATAACCGGCTTTTACATCCATTTTAGGGACCTGCACAAATTAAGAGAGCTGATTAGACATAGGCAAATGCTGCAAACTTCCAATATGTTCATGCAATTTTTCTTGCCAAGTGAAGGGTCTGTATGACAGCGCCCATTGTGGGAAACTAGCTGGAATGAGAAATGCCTGAATCTCCCGTTGCCTGCAGGGGCGCAGCTGGCATAAGCCACTTGTACAAGTTCCTTTGCTCTGACAAGGGTCCTTATCAGCTGCTTTTCCCAACCAGTAACTCCATTGCCATTGGTTTTATCTTGAGTGAGCTCTGGAATAGTGAACTGCCCATCGGCATCTAATGGGAGTCCTGAATATAAGTGATCAATGGTACATATTCCATCTTCGAGAATATTCTTTTTAATGGGAAGGTGTGCTTTGGCAATCAGCATTTCCTTGGGAAGGCAGTCAAGACGTAGAGACACGTGCTTTCATTATGTGGTTAGAAAATTGTGCCTCAGCCAGATCTAGAATGAGGAGAACTGGGAGGCTCTGCTTTCCCTGGGGCAACTAGAAAGAAATCTGCATGAGTTGCTTTTGTCCTAAGTACTCGTTAAATCATTTAACGAACATTACAGCAGATAATTGTGCATATGTAACAAGCTTAAATAGTTTTATCGAAGATGGACCATTAGTACAGATGGTAATACGTTGTTCCCTAGCCCTACACTTGCATTTGCCTATTACACGTAAAATTGATATTTGCTCTAGTGAAGTGATTTGAACACTGACTGTGTACACGTTGTTAAGAGGCTTAGATCGGTATGCACACTTCTTTACCGTACAAAAGTACATATTAAAGCTTTTGCTCTATGTTCTCTACTGTTTCACTGGAAAGTTTTAATAGAATTGTATAAGAAGAAAAATTGAAATGGTGTTAATCTGAAAATTATTGATTCTCCTATAAGCACTGTAGTTCAAAAGAGAGTAGCAGTTAGGATGATCATTTTGTTTAAAATAGAAGGCTGCTTTTTTTTCTCAAGTATTTTAAATATCTTTATTAGAAAATAAAGGAATAGCGATAGATTTATATGAATGTCTAAATGTCTCAGTAGAGGAGTTCATCTGGTTATCACCGGGTCCTCTGATGTTAAGGAATGGGCTAATTGATTTGTGCACACAATTATGATGGATTTATGTTAAGGAAATCATTTGTTGACTGTTTAAATGAAAGGAAATATCAATAATAGGGAATAAGTTTGCAACTAATCTCACACCGCAAACTTGTTCATCTTAATCCTGTTTAATATACAAATTTGGATAGTTTAATTATAAACATATTTTTATATCAAATACACAGTTCTAATATAAAAGTTATAAATAATTATTTTTGTTAACAAAGGCACTAAAACAGTATGTCCTGGTTTTGGCCCTCCTGCAGAAAGAAGCATTGAAAAAAAATCATTGAAAACACACCTATGTTCTCTTGTATTGCAAAATCTCTTAAGAGCAGGACCACATCAATAGTATTTGATAATTTGCTTTACCTCCCAAAGCAAAGTTCAGCTTGTCTTAAGAACTGTTGCCAAAACAACAGGAAAAGAAAAAAAAAAAAAACTATTTTATTATTCAAATGTTTTAAAACCTCTTATCTTCTGACTTTTCTATAGAATCACAAAGTAAAGATGAAGTATCAGGCTAATTATTTTAGCAGTGACAGACAGAAGTGATTAAACGCATCCTAGAGAGAAACCTTTATAAAAATGTACGTTTCTATGTAGACTCACAAGAAACGGTGAGCGGACACTTTCCCGAAAGATGTTAGTCTTATAGGATCTTTTGAAGCAATTTTCTTGAGAAATACACTTAGGAAAATGTGGGCCAGACTGTCTTGCAGTTAGTTAATTGCTTATTGTCAGAACAGCATGAGAAATACGATATTCGTTGCAAAGGGATTTCGGCTACTAAACACTATTGGGAGAGAATCTCTTTATTCCTGAATAATGGAAGACCAGTACTCTGGTGTCGACATCAGTGAGGCACTTTTCTTAGTCCTACTAGAGGATGCAGTGTGCTCTTAGGCTAAATATCACATCTCGAGTCTTACCAGGTTTTCATTCTCTGTCAATAGGACCAGCTGGGAAAATGACAGAATAAATACGTTAGCAGCTAAGGCACACATATTTGCAGTTTGCTGAAAAGGAGATTGCTTTTCAAACTCCCCCCCTTCCCAGGGAAGAGCCCCATTCTAGATTTCTGCCATGGCCAATGTTCAGGAGCGTCTCATTACTAACAAGCCCAGCACACGAGCTGTTGCTCATCGGAAACACAGTTTCGTCTCTCAGAACAAACACGAGTGGATTTCTCAGCTACATTAATATCACGTCTTCGCGGCTGTCGGTTCGTTTGCTGTTTTCTCACGAGCAAAACCGTTCACGAGAAACTCCCTGTTTGTCTTGGAGGGAGAGGGAACACATATGCGTATAGCAAAAAGTACTCAGCAGGGCTCGTTAGACTCGGATTTCTTGCACAACTGTTTAGCTTTTTGTAAGTCCAACATGTAAATTTTCAAGACAAATAGAGAGAGACCTATGTGTTTGAAATATAAATGATATATGTGGATTAGCATGTACCTGTATATTATTAAACATGCAGTGAACTGGCTGGTAAGTGATGTCTGTGTACGGCTAGCAATGTAATTTATTCAGACTGTATTTTTGTACAGAGCAGCGCACACTAACCTATGCCTCTGTGTCCTCTTTGATGCCTAAAACTGTGCCTAGAAATTTCATCTGTCTTAAAAATACAATATAACTTCATGCTGTTTATGCCCTTCGTTTCTCTACTGCTGTTCTATATTTATTATTTGAAAATATATGACATGTTTACTACTTAAATATGAATTCATGGTATCCCGGTTATTTTTTTTTTTTCTAACAGTCCACTGGGGGCAACCTGTTTATCACTCCAGTGGTTTTGGGTTTGCAGTTTCAGGATCAATTCTTAATTTCATGATTTTTGTAGCTGACATGAAGTTATCTATGTGGAAAAAATAAAAATAAAAGTGGCTTCACTGATGTGGTTTGACTCTGTGTCTTCTCTACTGTACACAAGCTTCTGAATTACATGTCTTCAGTTCATTTTCTGCTTTATATAATCATTTTGAAAACAGCTTAATATGACATGCTCGTTTTGTGTCAGATTTCTTTAAAACTACATTTTGTTTCAAATTCTCAAGAGTCTATCCTCTGCAGCTGAGTTATATGAACAATAAAAGAAAATATCCTTTCAAACTATCTGCTTTAAAAGGAAGGAGATACAGTGTGGGCTGTTGTTTCCCCTACTCTCTAATCACAATTAGAAACAGCAGCAGTGAAAGGGTTTTTGTTTAATTTTTAGTGTTTTCCAGGTATGTTAAAGCAGAGTTTCCTACATCACTTCTTTTTTTTTAATTGGAGAGGCAATCTAAATTTTTAGTGCACACGTGTACATGTATATGTGAAGAAATTCATTAAGTTTAAAGTCAAAATTTCCCGTCACCCTTTGTGTATATAAAACGGTGAATATACTTGGAAAGAAATTTAAGTTAGACAATAAAATTCACTTGTGTGATTGTCAGGAAATTCTCTTAAAGTTATAAATAAGACTAGATGATTGAGCAACTTTCTTGTTGGTAAATCAGTTTGAATATAAAATACATTTTTTTTTTTGGTCATTTATGTCTCAGGAACCCTCAAATTTTTAGAGATCCACAGTATATTTTTCTGCTTAAAATATTTTAAATCATCTGTGAGTCTATGATATATTTAATATCAAACTTTCAAAAGTGTATGTAAAAGTTATAAATTCTCTTTTTTTTTTTTTTTGGCCAATTTTCTATCATTTTGGAAATTTCCCTTGCTATGGCCTTACTCTAATTTGACAGAGTAGCATCATTCATTTGATGTGTTATATTTTCAGCATAAAATACTTCATTTTATACAGAATCCTCATGAGCAGAACACCTTTCCAAACATGTCCTGCCTGGTGATTTTCCGTGACCCAGTTTCTCTGAATTTGGAAGACATGGAGACAACTTCCCTGGGATTTGACAAGAGAAAATCCTTTGCCTTCAGAGATTTCATTGTGAACACGAAACAGGAAAACCTTTTGAATTTGCTTTGCCATAATAGCCATGTAGCCCGTTAGCAGATTGTTTCATTAAGTCAAGCTCATATTATGTCAACACAGTGTCCCATTTTGATGGTTTCCAAGTCATTTGGTTGAAATTATTCTGCATTCTGTAGAAGAATCCACTGAATGCCTCGATTTCTAATTTATCAAATTTTCACGTTATGACCTGTTAATAGCTTTTCAGAAGTGCGACCTTAATGAGATCAAATTAAAAGAGCAAATAAAAATTAGAATTATGTGCTTCGTATTTTCACAGGAAGCACTGATTTATTTGAAACGTTTAACTTCTATTCAAATATCAGAACATGGTGTCATAGCTGCTCAGTGTCAAAGTTAAAATCAGACTCACAAAACTCCATGTAATAAAATGCCAACAGTTTTTCTATATAAGGCAGGTTTTCAGACTGGTAAGTCCTCACACTTTTAACAGCTACCAACTGTTGCCATGAGCAAAGGGCTCACGGATCGATACATGGAAAATTTGTTTTTAGAGTCACCAGCTAGGCGACTCCCATTTATATTCCAGCAGTAAGTCTAATGGTTCCAAAGTATAACTAAGAGAACAGGAGCTGAACTGTTCAAGTGGGAAGGATAATATGTGTAGTGTTTCTAAGCCAAGATTAACAGCACACAGAGAATGGTGTTCTTTGTAAAACTAAAGCTGTGTTGAGTGGTTCACCAGAGAAACTCAGTTTTGGCAAGCAATTATTTCCAAGCTGAATGACTTCATAGGAATAATGATTATAAAAGAAGCTTGGAACAAGTACTGGAAAACCATGTCATCAAACCAGTAAAAATCTTGAATACTTCACTTTCTGCATGTGACAAAGATTAATGAAAAATAAATAGTATCTAAACAATTTACACACACCCCCTAATTTGGGCCTATGGGAGGATGTGTCCATGACTGAAAGGCATTTCTTACACCACAGAAGAGAGGTAGACATGGAGTTAAACTTAAAACATATATGTGATGATGGTGCTGAAGACTGTCCCTTGATTGCTTTGAATTTATCATCATAAAGGTAAAATAAGAAATGAATGCCATAAAGCATATTTAATTGTTTTCTGGCTCCAAAGCCTGCCCTCTTTATTTGTTCCCATGTATGCACTGGCCCCAGAAGAAACAAGGGGACTTAAATTCACAGTCACTGCGCAGCAATTGCTGATAAAAATGTTTTC